GGGATCTAACCTGCAACCTTGGTAGTATCAGGGCAATGCTCCAACCAGCTGAGCTACTCAACCAGAGCTTTGTGGCTATTTTTCAATCAGAGGGTATAAGTCTTAACCTTTACCTAGGTGAAGAAGGAATACACTCTAGTGGGTGTGCCATCAGAATCAAATTACAAACATACCTTAAGCACAGGCATTCTTATTCACATGAAGTGGTTCCCATTCCTAAAGTATTATTCTGTTTCAATCCTGGGATAAATATAGCTTAAATCTTTTTTAAAAATAGCTTGCAATTTAAGCTATGTTATTGTTGATGTGCAAGCTGACAGATGAGGCCGTACCTCATTCAATTCCCTGGTTCATGCCTCTTTAAAATAAAGTAGTGAGGCAGGAGAGTAAGAAGCTAGGAAAATTCCTTGACAAGTGGAATAAGAGAACCGGAGACAAAATAATTAAACAAGGACAAACAATTTGAGCAATTTATTGCCAGCTAATGAATCACAAAGTTTTATCTTCCCTAACCAAGGACACTTAGGAGCAAATGGTTTATATATTCCAGACCATCCTGGAACAGAATACCCTCTTCAACAACATTCTTTAAAAATAAAACTAACAGTCCTGGCTGGGCTGGTTCAACGAATTGAGCGCCAGCCTGTGAACCAAAGAGTGGCCAGGTTTGATTCCCAGTCAGGACACATGCCTGGGTCAGGTCCCCAGCGGCGGGTGTGTAAGGGGCGGCCACACATCGATGTTTCTCTCCTTCTCTTTCTCCATCCCTTCCCCTCTCTCTAAAGAGAAACATCAATTTATTTTTCTCTAAGTAAATGAAATCTTAAAAAATAAAATAAAACAAAACTAATGAAAAAATAACCCTGACCCCACCATACACACATTTTGATGAATCAACATATTAAAGGACAAACCCGAAAAGCTCATGAATATTCTGTTAAGACTGTATCCTGAGGCATCCCCTAAGATTCCTACCTGCTGCACGAAAAGCCTCAAGACAGAGGGCCCACAGCACGGTCTGGCCAGAGCACAGCCACTACTGGTACCTCTGTGCTCCTGAACTCGGAGGGCCCCCCACGAGACTCGCAACCAAGGGAGCAGCAGGCAGCAGCAGCTCTTTCCAGGCTTATCCCTGTGAGCCTGTCTCGAAGGCCCCCTTTTTCTCTGACTTTCTCCCTCCTGTTGCTTCTTCTACCTTAAACCCTTCCTTTGCTTTAGTAAAGGAAGGAGTCCCAAGCACAGTCCCAAGCTTTAATAAACATCCTCTCAGAATCACCTGTAATTGTGTTGTGAAATCTTTCCTATGTAAAGTCAAGGACCCACACACTACACTGGCCAGCTCAAGGCAGACCCACTCCAGGCCCAGACTCTGACTGGTAACAGTAAAACTGATGAAAATTTGGACCATACATAACATTTTAAATTACTAATGGCTATAAAATATTCTAGTTGGTTGTCGCTGATTGGAGGAAGCTAAGGACACAGGACAAATAAATGCATTCGAGATCTTAGATAAGATCTTTGACCAGAGGAGGACATTAGTGGAAAATCTGGTGAAATCTGAGTTTGCCATTTTAGGAGTTTAGTTAATGAGATTGTATTGATGTTCATTTTTGTGGTTAATTAGTATAGTTATGTAAAATGATAACTGTTAGGATGGGCGGGGTAAGACAAAAAGGCAGCTGAACTACAACCCGGAAAAGATGGCTGACATCAAACCAAAGAGCCGAAAGGACGGCTTCATCCGCATAGCAACCTGAGCCCGAGGAGAACCACCAATGATATATTGCCGCTTTGTTCAAAGGGGACCAATCCCCAGCTCCCACAAAGAGAGCCAACCAAAATAAAACCCTACCACATTTCCTGCCTGGGGGCGACTTCCCCGGGCCACTGGAACCTTTCCAGGGCGCGCAAACCCCAATAAAGCTCTTTACGGACCAACTTTGTGGCTGATTGGCATTTCTTCCTCAGCGGAGCCTAAGAAAACCTTTCAATAACATTAGTAAAAGCTAGGAGAAGAATATATGGGAAATCTCTATACTTTTAAAGGCGACTTTTCTGTAAATCTAAAATCATTGCAAAATAAAAGTTTAAAAAATTTTAGACTTTGTGGTTAGAAAGAACCACATACATTTCTATACTTTGTCATAGTGAGACAGGATAGTAAAAAGCTAGGAAAACTCCTGGGCAAGTGGAATGTGGAAACAGACAAGAAAATTTAACAAGGTCAGTTTGAGTGATTTACAGTCAGGTGCTGAATTGCAAGACCTTATCTCCCCTAACTGAGGATACTTGAGGATTTTATTTATTTTTAGAGAGAGGGGAGAGAGGGAGAAAGAGAGGGAGAGAAATGTCAATGTGTGGTTGCCTGTTGAGCACCCCCTACTGGAGACCTGACATGCAACCCAGGCATGTGCCCTGGAAATTGAACCTGCCACCCCTTGGTTTGTAGGCTGGCACTCAGTCCACTGAGCCACACCAGCCAGGGCTGAGGACACTTGAAAGCAAATGGTTTATACCTCTGCTCCCTAACCAGAGAACACAGAGTCTTGCTGGCCATAAACTTCTGGTGTCCAGGGAAGAGAGGATAGCTAATGCAAATGGAGAAATAACACCTGAACAAAGGGAGCAAGCTTGGGAAGAAGCTGTGTGACTCCCCTTTCAGCTCCTTGTCCCCTTCCTCTCAAGAGAAACAGCATGTTCGCACTCCCCCTAAGAATTTCTGTCTCCTAAATTCCTACATTTCCCCTATGTAAACTTGCTCCGGAAAGCTCAAGGGAAGATGGGTATTAGGGTTTCTACCCGCCACCTTCTCAGATTGCCAACCTCTGATATTAATAAAAGTGCAATTATAACCCAATCCTTGTCTCTGCTATTTGGCTGAGTGGTGACAGGAAGCACAACCCTGGACTCAGTCGCCTTCCAGTTTCAATAGCAGTATACACGTTTATGGTATGATCTCTCTTGTGTGTAAACACATGTACAAATGTGTTCCCCCCAAAAGATACATTCAAATCCTGTTGGTTCCAGGAGCTGTGAATATGATCTTACTTGGAAATAGGATCTTTGCAGATGTGATTAGTTAAGGAGCTTAAGAAGAAATCATCCTGGATTGAGGGTGGGCCCTAAATCCAATGACAGGTGTCTTTACAGGAGGAAAGGGAGATGAAGATGCAGACACACAGATACACCCAGGAGAGGCCATGTAATGATGGAGGTGGAGATTGGAGTGATCCATAAGCTAAGAAACTCCAGAAGCCGCTAGAAGCTGGAAGAGGCAGAGAAGGATTCTCCCCTAGAGACTTCTGGGGGAGTGATACCTTGATTTTGGACTTCAGAACTACACAACTGACAGAGAATAAAATTCTGTTGTTTTAAGCCACACAGTTGTGGTGATTTGTTACAGCAGCCCCAGGGGACTACACCTATTTGGATTGTTTTTGTACCAAAAATACCTGGAGGGACAAGGTCCAATCCACCAGAAGTGAGGACTGGAAATTGGAGGGGGGGTGGGGGCGGGGTAGAAAGATGGCTTTTACTTTACAGTTTACTTTGTATATGTCTCCCTTTTTGTGAAATGTTCACAGGATCTACTTTTCATCTGTTCAACTGCGGAGGCCTACACACACTAAACTAAGGAGAGTCCGTTTCGCCATTTTAACCATATTTAATGTACGATTCAATGGTACTAGTTACATTCACAGTGTTGTTCAACCATCACCAGTCAATTTCTAAAACTTTTCACCACCGCAGAGAAACTCCACCCAATAAGCAATCATTTCGCCTTCTTCTCTCCGGCCACAGAACCACAAGTTGTAAAAATCTTTGTGGATAACTTGGAACCCATTACCTGCAAGTGGCATCTGCAGTGGGGGCAAACCTGTGGGACTGAGCCCTTACCCTGTGGGGTCTTTGATAACTCCTGTTAGTATCCGAATAGAGTTAAATCAGAGGAAACCAGGTTGGTATTCACAGAGAGCCGGAGATTGCTTGGTGTGGAAAATCCCCCACACCTGGTATCGGAAGTGTGGGTGTGTGACCGTGAACATTGCAGAGGAGAAACAGAGTTGATTTTCCCCTTTCAGGCCCTGAGGAGGCCCCAGAAGAGCTGCCCTGGGTCTGAAAGATGAACCAGGTCAAGTAGTCCTGGAAAAGTGAGACAGGATAGTAAGAAGCTAGGAAAGTTCCTTGGCAAGTGGAATAGGAAATTGAGACTAGCCAAGCAATTTACAGCCAGATACAGAAGGTCACCACCTCCTTAGAGATGACATCTAGGCCTCGGCCTCAGTTGTGTTTTAGCTCCGGGCCCAGAAAAGCAGCAAAACCAGGTGGGCAATGCCAGGACCAACTGCAACGACTAGAGAGCCCCTGGCGATCATGACCCTTAAAGGGCACACTTGGAGAACTGATGAATACTTCGCTAAAACCCTCCCCTGAGACTTCCCCCAAGATTCCTGCCTGCAAGGGAAAGGACTCAGCCAGCATGAGCTCTCCCTCTAGTGAGCAGCCTTCGCCATTCCCTTTCCCTTCTCCCCCCACCCCCACTTCTTTCTTCACAGGCCCTTGCCTCCTAAACCCTAAGGCCATGGGCAGCTCGCAGCTTGTCCTTAGCTTATCCCCGAACCTGTCCCTAAGGCCCCTTTTTCTCTGACTTCCCAGTGCACTAAGGCAGCCCAGACCAGGCTCTCCTGTTGCTTCTTCTCTGCTAAGCCCTTCCTTGGCTTATGGTCCACAGCTTTAATAAATGTACCCTCATAGTCCCCTGGACTTGTGCTGTGAAATCTTTCCTACATGAAGTCAAGAACCCACACACTATTCCTGGCCAGACCCATGCAGGGCCAGGCGCTCATCCCGTAACAGAGGGGCAAGGTGGGGGCTGCTTGAGTGTGGGGAGGCCCCAGGGCTGGAGGTGTTGGCACTGGGTGTCAAAGGACCCAGAATCCTGAGATTCATGGCCTGGTTCTGGAAGAGTCAGGCACACAGTATGCAATCAATAAATGTGTATTCGATTAATTTTTATTTTGCCCAAAAGTTTACTTTGTTCATACTCAAAATATAAACCATGTATACCAAGTTGCTTCATAAAGTTCTTCAGCAAGGTGGGCCTCCCATGTCTGGCTAGGGGATTGGAAAGGATTCCTGTCAATGCTTTTTATTCTTCTTTTTCATCTGCAAGAGAAGAGGGGCAGGTCAGACAGGGCCCCGAGCTGACCATGGGAGGAGAGAGGGGCTGCCAGGCCTCCAGGCCAGTGGAGGGCCCCGTTGCCTTCTCTGAGCTGAACTGTACCTCTCCCAAACCCTCCCCAGTCCTCACTCATGCGCAGCCCCCACCCCTCATTATCCTGCCAGCCCCAGACCTCCCCACGTGCTCATACCAGGCTTGTTCTGATCTTCTTCTTGATGTATAGATATCGACTCAAGCCAGCAACCAATACAATCCCAGCGACCCACACTGCAGACCCTGTAGCAAGCAAGGTCAGGCCCCCCTTTCCCTATATGGAGGAAGAATAAAGAGGGGAGACCTCAGTGACCCCAGGCTGATCCCACAGGATACAGACAATGAGGGGGTCTATGGGGCTCGGGGTCCTGGCTGACAGGGTGGCTAGGAACCAGAGAAAAGAGGGACACACAAGATGGCCCCATCCCTCTGAGCTCAGTGGTCAGAATGGGCTCCAAGGCAGATAGATACTGGCTCTGCTCTGCCCTCTGCAGTGAGCAGGTGGTAGCTGCAGGGTGGTCCCTTGGCCCCTCTGGGCTTACCTTCTCAGGTCGTGGGGGTGGCACTCTCCACCCCCTGGGCTGGAGGGAGAAAGCAGGGGACTGTCTGGAGGCACCCGGAAGAGCACTGGCCAGTGGAAGTGCTCACAGGGTGAGCCGGACACACTGCAGAGAGGCCTTCGGGCTCCCCGGCATGGTTTCAGCCAGGCCTGTGACTCCTCAGCGGGGGATGGAATCTGAGGGGTCCCTGACTCCCCGGAGAACTCCTGGACGGTAGCTTGAGACACCCCTTCACAGGTGTCCTGAGGTCTCAGCCCAGAGGAAAGCAGTGAGCCTCCCTCATAGGCCTTTGGTTGTCCCTGGGTGCACCCCGAGAATGGAGAAAATGACCAGGGTCCTGTTCCTATCCCAGGAGCTGGTGGCTGGGCATGGCCAATCTTGGCTGATTGTGATGGGGGGATATCTTTACTCACCAGTGTGAGGAACATCATGGTTTTTGCCACCATCTTCTTTATTTTTCTATCTCATTTATTTTTAGAGAGAGAGGGAGGGAGAAAGAAAGGCAGAGAAACATCGATATGTGAGAGATACATCAATTGGTTGCCTCTCAGGGACCCAGCCTAGAACCCGGGGTGTTCTGACTGGGCATGGAACCAGCAACCCTTTGGTTCACAGGCCCGTACTCAAGCCCCTGAGCCACACCAGTCAGGGTGTGCCACCATCTTCTTAAGGTATCAGAGCTCACCCCTGTGGAGAGGACAACCCAAGTCATCTTCCTACATACTCCAGTACCCCGAGGGCCTCTGGGATCTGCTTCTCAAAGGCAGAGGCCAGGCCTCAGCCTCACAGGGATCCTGCCTGGAGGGGATCACCTAGACAAGAGACCCGAGGGGTAATTGCCCTGGAGCCCAGGCCCGTTCTCTAGGGGTCTGTGGAAGTGCCAGGGCCATGCTCTGCTTCAGGCTCAGGAGTCTCCTCTGCAAGCCTGGCAGAAGGGCTTACCTACCCACTGCCTCTGGACTTTCGTCTAGAAGACCATTTCCTCTTTCTGCCCCAGCCTTCAGTTCTTCCAGGGATAGGGAGGGGAGGGATTTTTTTTCCCCCCTCTATAGTTATCCTGTTAGCTTTTGGCTCACTCGGGGCCCTATCCATTCATCTAGCTCTCGGCAGGCTCAGTGTTAGAACCTCACCCGGCCGCCATTTTGGTCAATGCGGGAGACTCCCTGGCGCTCCGGCAGACTCTTCTGGGTAACATCCCCATCCCCGCACCCCAGCCAATTCAAAGGTACACATTCCAAGGCCCAGATGTCTTGGCTAACCCTGGCCCTCACCCTTTGTTTTCTGTTGCCCCTTCTAGAAGAAAGATCTGATTCCTGCATGTAAATCATTTTCCTGCTCCACCTAACCCTCCCTTGGCTGAAGACCCCATTCTCTGAGGCCAAGCCTCCTGCCTTATCCCAGGTAACAAACCCCCTGTTGGTCTCACACATTTTGGTGGAGCACCTGCTTACCCTGGTCCCCTTCCCAGGCACACAGCTCTCACCTGGGGAGGGAGGCAAACCTCTCACCTCCAGGCTGCCAGTGACTCTGGCTGGTCTAGATCTGAAAATAGACTTACCAATGTATTTCCTTGTTCCTTCCGTCTGTGTAATCACAGATGAAATGTTAGAAAAGCAGTGGTTTCACTGAAATCATGTGACATCTTGCTGAGAATGAGTCATTCTATTTGTTTACTTTCACTTTCTGTAAAAGAAATCCAGTTAAAATATAGCTTTTTTTGTAAGACAACTAAGGACAACTGAGGGTGAGCTGGAGAAAACTAAGGCCAGGGAAGGCTTCCCACATGACTGGTGTGGAAAGAACGTAGGTGAAACCCCAGACAACAGGGGCAATGCCAGGAGGTGGCAGGGAGTGAGGCCAAGGACTCCATAGTTCTAAGTCATTTGAAGAGGACCCTGAGCTTGCTGTGTAAATAGAGCTTCGAGTCCAGCCCTTGTGTCTAGTCCTTGCTCCACAGTCTGCAGCCCCCACCCTGTACTCATAAGCCCTGTAGCCAACATTTTTGGCAGAAGACCCTTCCCCTGGGAGCTCACAGCTGGAAGCCTTCAGTCCTGGGAGACCTTCTGGAGGAGGTGACACGTGGGCCTGGGAGGGCAGTGACCAAGAGGCATCCTGGGAAAACCCACAGGAGGGGGCCTAGGCCTACTGGGGTCAGGCTCTACAGGGGAAGATGAAGAGGGGCTAGGGTCACTGACCCATACAAAATAACACTCAACCTCATCATCTGCCACCTACCCATTTTCCACCCAGCACCCAGCACCCAGCATCCCTGTATCTCTGCATCTACCTACCTAGCTACCTTTGCTGAGAATTCAGCCTGCCTGACATGTGTGCCTTGAGAACCGTAAGAATATAGACATTCTCTTTTAATACATGATTATTTCACAGTTAATTGAAGTAATATCCTATAGATGGGCATTTAGGTTTTTTCACACTTTTTTTCATATTTTGTGCCAACACTATATATACAAGAATACTTCTGTTGGACCTTCGGCCCACACGATGCTCTGGGGCTCCTCCAGTGAGCAGCCCCCACTGGGGCTCTGGGGCTGCCCCGCAGTGCAGGTCTAAAGGGTCTGGTCAGTTGGGAGAAGGCTGGCCACTTCCTATTTTATCATTTTATAATTTTTTTTAAAGAGTGTGGCATATTTTTTTAAAAGATTTTATTTATTTATTTTTTTAGAGGGGTAGGGGAGAGAAAAAGAGAGGAAGAGAAATATCAGTGTATGGTTGCTTCCCCTGTGCCCTTTACTGGGGACCTGGCCCGCAACCCAGGCATGTGCCCTGACTGGGAATTGAACCAGTGACCCTTTGATTTGCAAGCTGGCACTCAACCACTGAGCCTCACCAGCCAAGGCTCATTTTATAATTTTGAAGTGATGAGTTTTGATTGATCTTTTACTTTTCAGCAGCTCCCCCCCCTTATATTTTAAAGTAAAAAGTAGCAAGTCTGGCTGTCATAATTCATTTGAAATAGACTTAAACTACTAACCTGTTCAAAGGGACTAAGTAAATAACCCTAATGTGGTAGGTACTTAGACAAGACGTGAGCAGAGCAAGGACAGTGGGCCAGGTACAGAAGGTCAACAGGGGGGAAAGTGCTGGGTGCCTAGCAACAGACAAAACTGAGAAAACAAAGACTTTGCCCTGGGGTAACCTATCCTCCCCCAGCATGTCACTGGTCATGCAGCTTAGACCCTGGCCTCTCATATCGCTGGTCATGCATTTCCGCCCCTACCCTGACCTTTCCTCTCCTGGCATGTTGCTAGTCATGCAGGTTAGAACCCCTTAGAGGAGGAACAAAGAAGGGGGCTGGAGAATAGCCCTTAACCATGAAGCCCCCGGGACAATGAGGTTCTGACCCACATCAAATACATCTAGACCTCACTGGTGTTTCAGCTCCAGGCCCAGACAAGCAGCAAAACCAGACGAGACACATGGCTGACGTCAGGACCAGTTGCATTGATGAATGACCCCCTGCCCTGGTGCTGACCAATCAGTAGAGACCACAGCCCTGAAAGGACACCCCTGGAAAGGTGAATATCCTATCGGGATCCATCCCTGAGACCCCCAGATACCCTAAAGTCAGAGGGCCCAGTGAGGCTCTCGCCCACTCCGCCCCCACGCATATTTTCCTTGACTCTCTCCTCCGCTCCAAGTGCCCCTTTGCCTCTGTAACTTGTTTCTTGATCCCATTTCTTCTAAAGCTCACTTCTTCTACCTCTGTGGTTTTATAAATAAGCTTTCTTCTATAGTTTGAGTATTGACTCTGAATTCCTTTTTTTTAACTTAAAAAAAAGAACCTGGGCCCTGGCTGGTGTAGCTCAGTGGATTGAGCGTGAGCCTGTGAATCAGACAATCGCGGTTCGATTCCCAGTCAGGGCACATGCCTGGGTTGCAGGCCAGTTCCCTGCAGGCCAGTTCCCAGCAGGGGACACACAAAAGGCAACCATACATTAATGTTTCTCTCCCTCTATCCTTCCTTTCCCCTCTAAAGATAAATAAATAAAATCTTTAAAAAAAAACTGATTCGACAAAGAGAAAAACATATGTTGCTCAACTTACTTATGCATTCATTGGTTGCTTCTTGTTGTCAAACTAAGAAATATTCAAACCTGTAGAGAATTTTTATGAGTTTACTTGAGCCAAACTGATGACAATGCCAGGAGGCAAAATCTCAACAGATTGAGAATATGTTCCAGAGAATGGCAGTTCTGCACCTTATTTTATACATTACAACCAAAAGAGAAAACATAAGTGGGTTACATGAAATCCAGTGGTGATTGGTAAGGAAGGTAGGACAAAGCAAACAGCAGGGAAACCTCTGGGATTGGATAAAAAGGAAATTGAGCCCTGGCTGCTGTGTGGCTCACTGGACTGAGCGCCAGCTGCGAAACAAAATGTTGCTGGTTTGATTCCCAGTCTGGGCACACGCTTGGGTTGCAGGTCGGGTCCCTAGTTGGGGGCGTGTTAGAGGCAACCAATTGATACATTTCTCGAACATCGATGTTTCTCTCTCCTTCTTTCTCCCTCTCTTCCTCTCTCTGTAAAAATAAGTAAATTAAAAAATAGTGAAGTGATAGATACATACTTCTTTTACACAGGTGAATATAGGATAGTTAACAGTCAACAATTAACTCAATAACAATAACAGTGAGGTGATCTGTGGGCTCAGGAGAGTGGTTCATCTGCTTTGAGGAGTCTGGGATAAAGGAATTACTTTGACATTCCAGAGTTATGTTATTGTAGATGCCAGAACACAACAGACAGGCTTAGTTTAGGTGAAAACTGACTTTGTCAGGGAAGGTTCTAGCCTAGGACATGATTGCCTGCCATAAACTGCTTTTAGTTTAAAGTTTAAATTTCAGGCAGTCCTTTGTGGTTACCTTAGGTCTCTGAGTTTGTAAGGTCACCACCTACACGAGTTTGTCAGGTGTAGTATATAGCCCCTTTTTCATTCACAGTGGCCTGACCAAAGATCAAACCCACAACCTTGGCACATTGAGACTACATTCTAACCAACTGTGCTACCCAGCCAGGGCTCTGAATTTTTTCTTAGCTAGAACTCAAGTTCTCAGGTTGCTGAACCAAGGTCCAATCTGACTCCACCAGTCTAATATTGGGTGCCATTTTCACTAGCAACACTAAGAAAATAAAGTTAGTTTTTTAAAAGTTCTAGAAACCCCCAAATTACAGATAACATCCCCCCAAGAAGGAGTGGGAGGACAGTGCCAGCTTGGGCCAGGGCTGCACAAAGGCCCCTGTGTGTAGCGAAGGAAAAGCCTACGATCAGGGACCATCTCTGTTGCCCATGGGAAGGCCTTCCCTTATCAGGCTCCTTCCTGACCACAGGAACAGAGGCTCAACCAGAGACTTCTTTGGGAGCAAATGCTCTTATTGCCAGGTGCCCTGCTTTGCTGGTGCTGAAGCTACAGGGTCCTGACCAGGCCATTGAGACCACATAGGGCCTGGAAGCTACCAGGCCTGGCCAGGACCATGCTTGCAGGCCTATGGAAGAGGATGGACTGGAGCTGGGACCTCCAGATAAAAAGGCGACATAGGAAACCTTCATAGACAGCAGAGGGTGCTCCAGCATCAACCCAGGGAGCTGCCCTTCCACCTGGGTCTGGTCTTCCTCTGGGGGGAGTGAGGGATGTTATCATTTTCCAGACATAAATAAACCCTGCCTTTACACTTGACCTAGCTGCTCCCATGATTGATAATTAGCTACTTGTTTGTTTGTTTATTATCTGTCTTGCCTCAGTGGAATGACAGTTCCAGGATTCCTGGGTCTAGGAATCAAGGAGTGGAAATGGGGAGAGGCTGCACTCACCCTTGCCTCTGGGGCCTCCAGTACTCACTCAGCTTCACAGGCTCTGCTGGTCACAGGCTGCCTCGGTTCCAGAGGAGGAATGTTTCCACTGGGGGGCGCTGCCACAAGGATACAAACTGAGGTTGAAGGCAGAGAAGCCTGGCCTGTCCCTAGAGAATAAGCAGCCGTGGGTATGCACCTGGATTTTGAGAGTGTAAGGAAAAGAGATGACAAAAAGGCTATATTCTAGAAGGCCCTATTAAAGAGTTTTTTATTTTATTCCAAAGGGAGAGATTTAAGCATTTTAGGAGTTTACAGTTTAGAGATATTACTCCAATGAGATGGATGCTAAAATGTTAACAGTAGTTGTCTCCGAGGGATGGAATTGCCTGTATATATTTTTCTTTACTTTTTCCTTTTCTGTTCACTTATCTGTATTTTACCATATTTTCCATAATGAACATGGCTTACCTGTATGCATTAGTGTATGCAGGGGCTACCATAATAAAGCACCACAAACTGGATTGCTTAAAACAACAGGAATTTATTCTCTCCCAGTATGGGAGGCCCTGGAAGGTCCAAAATCAAGGGGTTACAGGACCATGCTTCCTCCTGAGCCTCCAGGGGAAAACCATTTCAGCCTCTTCTAGTTTCTGGGGGCTCCTGGTGTTCCTTGGCTGGTGGCCACATCACTCCGGTCTCTACTCCCATCTTCACCTGCCCTTCTGCCCAGTGTGTCTCTGTTTCTCCTCTTCTTATACAGACACCAGTCATTGGATTTAGGGTCTACTCTAAATTCATAATGACCTCGTCTGGAGCCCCTTAACTAATTACATCTGCAAAGCCCTTTGTTCCAAATAAGGTCACATTCTGAGGTTCCAGGTGGACACGAAGTTTTAAAGGGCTACTTGTTCAACCCACTACACTATAGGATATAAATAAAGCATCTAAGGAAAATTTACAAATCACTCTGGAGGCACCATGATAACTGGAGACAAAGACCAGAAGCTGGGAGCCTGCAGAGGAGGCTGTCGTTGAGGTCCTGGCCTGTGTTTGGACAGCAGCAGCTGGGAAGCCAGAGGGCAGCGTAAGGGAGAGGCTATGGAGACCATGTCAGTTAAGACTCCAGGGTTAACTGAATGTAGAAGTCAAGTAGGGCAAACTGCTGGCTTTCTGGCTTGGATAAGGATGCTACTTATCTTATCCAGACGGGAATGACAGGAGGATCACATCTGGGAGAAGGGCATCTGCTAGAACCATGAGAAAACTCTCCTGGTACAGACTCCACAATTGACCAAGATATGTTCTCTGAAGGAGAACTCCTAAGATTAAAGAATCCAGTGAAAAAGGCAATAATGATTTCCTATTTATGTCAAGCATACTTTTCTTCTTTTAAGTATATTTTACTGATTATACATTACAGTTATCCCAGTTTTTTCTCCCATTTATTTCCCACTGCCCTGTACCTTCCTCCCTTGAGCACTCCTTCCCAGCTCCTTTAGTTCATGTCCATGGGTTGTACATACAAATCCTTTGGTTTCTCCAGTTCCTACACTATTCTTAACCTCCCCCTGTCTATTTTGTACCTACCACTTATGCTTTTTATTCCATGTACCTTTTCCCTTCTCTCACCTTCCCTCTCCTCCACTGATAACCCTCCATGTGATCTCCATTTCTGTGATTCTATTCCTGTTCTAGTTGTTTGCTTAGTTTGTTTTTATTTTTATTTTTGTTTTTAGGTTCAGTTGTTGATAGTTGTGTTTGCATTTTACTGTTCATAGTTTTGATCTTCTTTTTCTTAGGTAAGTCTGTTAACATTTCATATAATAAGGGCTTGGTGATAATGAACTCCTTTAGCTTTACCTTACCTGGGAAACGCTTTATCTGCCCTTCCATCCTGAATGATAGCTTTGCTGGATAGAGTAATCTAGGTTGTAGGTCCTTGCCTTTCATGACTTTGAAAACTTTCCAGTCCCTTCTTGCCTGCAAGGTTTCTTTTAAGAAATCAGCTGACAATCTAATGGGAACTCTTTGTAGGTAACTGTCTCCTTTTCTCTTGCTGTTTTTAAAATTCTCTTCTGATGTTTATTCTTGGGCAATGTAATTATGATGTGCCTTGGTGTGTTCCTCCTTGGGTTCAACTTCTTTGGGACTCTGAGCTTCCTGGAAGTCTATTTCCTTCAACAGATTGGGGGAGTTTTCCTTCATTGTTTGTTCAAGTAAGTTTTCAATTTTTTGCTCTTCTTCTCCTTCTGGCACCCTTATGATTCAGATGTTGGAACATTTAAAGTTGTCCCAGAGGTTCCTAAGCCTCTCATTCTTTTTTTCAATTCTTGTTTCTTCATTCTGTTCTGGTTGAATATTTATTTCTTCCTTCCGGTCCAAATAGTTGATCTGAGTCCTGGTTTCCTTCCCTTCACTGTTGGTTTCCTGTATATTTTTCTTTATTTCACTTTGCATAGCCTTCACTTTTTTCTCTATTTTGTGACCATACTCAACCAATTCTGTGAGCATCCTGACTATTAGCGTTTTGAGCTGTGCATCTGATAGGTTGGCTATCTCTTCATTGCTTAGTTGTTTTTCTGGAGTTTTGATCTGTTCTTTCATTTGAGCCGTACTTCTTTGTCTTGGCATACCTGTTACAACGTAAGGGGCAAAGCCTTAGGTATTCACCGGAGCAGGGGAACCCACTACACGGGGTTGTGGTGCTGTATGTGAGGGAGGGGTCAGAGAGGGAACAATGCTGCTTGCTTGGCTCTCAGCCTGCTTTCAGTCACTTTCCCCACTGCCCACAAGCCAATTGGGTGCTTCTGGTGCTGATTCCTGGGAGAGTGGGTTTGTGTATGTTCTAGGGCCCCATGGGCCCCGCCAATGAACTCTCCTGTGAGGCTGGGAGTTTCTCCTATCACCACAATCCTCACAGGGTTTTACAACCAGTGGTTTGGAGGCTCTGGTTTCCCACGCTGGACTCCTGGGTTGTGAGGTCTGTCTCGCTCCCCAGTTGTTCCTCCTGGTTTATCCACAGGCAAATGTGGGACCCACAGCCACCACCTCACCTACCCCATCTGCTGCCACCTTGCTGCATATTCTCTCTGCCCCAGCTGCCAGTCTCTGCCCTCCTACCAGTCTGGATGAATGTTTTGTCTTTAACTCTTTGATTGTCTGACTTCCATACAGTTTGATTTTTCTGGCAGTTCTGGTTGTTTTTTGTTTTTAAATTTGTTGTACTTTTTTTGGTTGTGCAAGGAGGCTAAGTGTCCAAGAATACTTTTCTGATTGTCATATGTGTCTTGTTAACTGCTCCACTTTACAGATTGGGAAACTAAAACTTAGCATATACCATCCAGAATGTATGGCTTGCCCTGACCCATGTGGTTCAGCTGGTTGGAGTGTAGTCCTATAACCAAAGGGTTGCAGGTTCAAATCCAGTGGGTGCACTTACTTGGGTTGTGGGTTCCATCCCTGGTCCAGGAGCATACCATCCCCAGTCAGGGTGCATATGGTAGGCAACTGATTGATGTTTCTCTCTTTCCCTTCATCTCTCTAAAAACAAGGGAAAAAATACTCAGATGAGGATAAAATAAATATGTGGCTTTATCTGTTCTGCTTAGTTTGATTGGACTGTAAGCTTCTATAAGGGAAATATATATGTCTTGTTCAACCTCACTTGTTGTTATTGAAATGTAAATTCAAACTACACGACAAACTACATTCAAACTAGATCTCATTAGAATTAAAAACTTCTGTGCATGAAAAGATACTATCAAAAAGTGAAAAACGACTCACAGAGTGGGAGAAAATAGTCACAAATCTGATAAGGAATCAATATCCAGAATACACAGAGAACTTCTACAACTCAACAGTAAAAAACAAGCTAGTTTAAAATATGGGCAAAGGACTTGAATAGACATTTCTTCAAAGAAGATACCCAAATTAACAATGAATAACATGAAAAGAGGCTCAATATCACTAATCATTAGAGAAATGTAAATCAAAACCACAATGAGATATCACTTCATACCTACTAGGATGGCCAGAATTAAAAAGACAGAAAATAACAAGTGTTGGTGGGGATGTGAAGAATTGGGACCCTTGTGCATTGCTAATGGGAATATAAAATGGTGAAGCCCTTGTGGAAAACAGTCTGGCAGTTTCTCAAAAACCTAAACATGAAATTACCATATCAGCCAGCAATTCTACTCCTAGGTATATACCCAAGAGAAATGAAAATGTGTCCACACAGAAACTATATACCAATGTTCATCGATAGCAGAATTATTCACAATAGCCACAAAGTGAAAACAACTCAAATGTATATCAGTGAATGAATGGATACACCAAATGTGGTGTATACAGTCAATGGAATATTAGTCAGGCATAAAAAAGAATGAAATTCCAGTATATGCTACAACATGGATAAACCTTGAAAACATTACGCTAAGTGCAAAAAAAAAAACAAAAACAAAAAACCAGGCACTAAAGGGCAAATATATGATTCCACACATATGAGGTCCCTAGAGTAGTCAAATTCTCAAATATGGAAAAAATAGAATAGAGGTTATCAGGGGTTGAGGAGAGGACGGAATGAAGAGTTAGTGTTTAGTGGGTATAGTTTCAGTTTGGGAGATAAAGTTCTGGAAATGAACAGTGGTGATAATGGTGTTTGCAGAACACTGTGAATGTACTTAATGCCACTGAATTATACACTTAAAAATAGTTAAGTGGCAAATTTTGTTATATAAATTTTACCACAAAAACACGTCTTTACTTTTTGCCCCAGAAATCTCACTTCTAGGACTTTACCTTGGAGATATACTCCCAACAATGTGAAAATACATATGCTTTTGGTTATTCATTGCAGCATGGTTTGTAACTACAAAATATTGGAAACAATTTCGATGCTCATACATAAAAAGTGGTTGAATAAAAGCTCATCCACACGTCTCTATCAACTGAGGTGGGATGATTTCCAGGATATAGTGCTAAGTGAAAAAGATAAAGTGGGAAAGCATATCTATAGTGTGCCACCCTTTTGTGTAAGAAACAAAGAGAATTAAGAAAATATATATTTGCCTCCACACTTGAGCATAAAGAAACCCAGGAAGGAAAAACAGAGAGGACTGAGATTGATTACTAGAAGGTAGTGGGCAGGAATTGCATGGAGAGGACAAAGAAAATGGGTGGGGGGTGGGGGAGACACTACCCTGGATATATTTTTTGGTACAGATCTGCCTTTTGGAATCATGCTGTTTTTTCACATATTTTTAAAAAGATTTTTAAAAAAAAATTTTAGAGAGGGGGAAGGGAGGGAGAAAGAAAGGGAGAGAAACATCACTGTGTGGCTGTCTCCTGCATGCCCCCTAGTGGGTACCTGGCCCACAATCCAGGCATGTGCCCTGACTGGGAATCAAACCAGTAACCAGGCCAGCACTCAATCCACTGAGCCCACCAGCCAGGGCTCTTGTTTCACATATTTTAAAAAATAGGTAAAGTCACTAAGATAGGAGGGAAAATCCTAAAATTTAATACAAACAGAAACAATTGAACCAAAGCATATTTTGAATGAATAACACATACACTTGGTTTCACTTGCTGTGGACAGCGCATGCTCCTCATCCTCTTGCAGCTCTGCTCTGCACTCCTCTGTGCCTGACGACTGCTGCCACCTTCTCCAATCACTATAAAAGAAGAGATCCCTGTGCTTGTCATCAACGATGGCTCTGACATGTGTAAAGATGGCTTGGCAGGAGATGACGCCTTCCCCCTCAGGCATGTTCACTTCCATTGTCAGATGCCTCTAACACCAGGGTGTCATGGCGGGCATGGGGCAGCTACATGGGCAATGAGGCCAGAGCAAGCACAACATCCTGACCCTCAAGTACCCCATCGAATATAGCATTGATGGCAATGAAGATGACATGGAGAAGCTCTGACACCACACCTTCTACAGTGAACTGTGTGTGGCACCTGAGGAGCACCCTGTGTTGCTCATCAAGGACCCCCTGAACTCCAAGGACAACCATGAGAAGATGAGTCAGATAATTTTTGAGACCTTCAACACTTGGGCCATGTCCATGGCCATCCAGGCAGTGCTATATGCCTGCGTGCCTGTGGGCGCACTACTGGTATTGTTATGAACTCTGGGGATGGGGTTACCCACACTATGCCTACCTAAGAGGTCTGTCCCCTCTCCTACTCCATCCTGTGTGTCTTGACCTAGCTGGCCAGCCAGGATATGGCCAACTACCTCATGAAGATCCTTACAGAGCATGGCCACAGCTTCACCACCACAGCAAGTGGAAAATCATGTGTGACATCAAAAAGAAGCTCTGCTATATTGCCCTGATCTTTTAGCAGCAGATAGCCACTGCAGCATCCTCCACCTCTCTGGAGAAGAGCTACAGGCTGCCTAAGGGGCAGGTGATCACCATCAGCAACAAGTGATTCCAGTGTCCCGAGGTGCTATTCCAGCCCTCCTTCCTGGGTATGGAGTCCTATGATAGCTACAGGACCACATTCTACTCCACTACAAAGTGTGATATTGACATCCAGAAGGATCTGTTTGCCAACACAGTGCTGTCTGATGGGACCACCATGTACCCCCTACATAGCCAACAGGATGCAGAAGGCGATCACAGCTTTGGCTGTAATCAAAATCAAGTTCATTGCCCCACCGAAGCACAAGTTCTCAGTGTGGATCAATGGCTTTGTTCTGGCCTCAGTGTACACCTTCCAAGAAATATGGATCAGCAAACGAGAGTACAGCAAGTTGGGCCCCCTCCATCATCCACTACAAATGCTTCTAAATGTACTGCAGGCGGATGAGTAGCAATTGCTGCATTACTTGATCAAGTATGAGTTTGCCCTAGCAACTGTATATACCTCAAGCTGGCCTCCTAAAACTGAAATAAGCCTTTGAAAATAAATGGCCCTTAAAGCTTATATCTGATCTCAGCACTGGACTATAAACCTGATTCATGATTTTGCCCTTGTATTCAAGTTAACTGTTCCCTTGGTACATGTTTAACACCATGTACACATCTTTGATTTAAACCCCTGTACATGCAGTCGGTCACTTGGTGGAAAAAATGAGAACATTTGCTCAAGAGAAATCTACTGGTTTGATGAGAATCGGGAAGACTGCACGTTCCTGATTTGTGCAGGGTATTAATGTGCAGGAGTTGCCAATTCCAGGGTTTCTTTAGAATCTGGCAAGAGTCCTGAACCAGTTGTCATTTCTGTCCTGCCAGGGTGATGGTGCCGGGAGGGTCTAAGAGTTAGGACCCATCTTCCTTCTTTAGCTGATGTTCTTCTGCCAGAACACCTGGGTTATTTGTTACTCGTCTTGAGTTGGAAAGCAGTTTGCATTTTCACTTGTAAATTTATTCATCCTTTGATATAAAATTTTTGTATGCAATTCTCAATTCTTTTAGAGATAACAAATTTTGGTTTTCTACTGTCATGTGAGAACATTAGGCTCCAGCAACAAGTCATTGTGAGAAAAGTAAAGTGCTTCAGTTAAAACACATACACAAACATACACCTAAGGCTGAGAAAAAAACCCCAATTAAGTAACTTTTGAATATAGTATTTGGAACACATGTTTTCAGGTCAAAGACAAATAAGAACTCTAAACTCCAATAGGTAGGCATTTATCTCCTCACAGGAATGAATAAACAATTTGAAGTTACTTTTTGGAATTCTAAGATTGAGCAAATATGTAAATATATTGGGGAAATGGAAGCCAAGTTTCTCATGGTTGGAGACTAAGTTACAAATATGAAGAGGGGAGAGGATAGTACAAACCCTGTAGCAATAGACTGGAATTGGAGATATTTATGTAAACTCACGGATGTATACATCTCATCCATTTCCCAGCTATATCCTCCAAGAGGGCCTAGAAGGAATGATGCCACAGTAATATAAATACACCTAGTATTCAGATCTTGGTTTCTGAACACTTCCACTAGTTTTTTTAAAAACTATGAAGGGTAACCTAGAAATTTTACAGCAGAGAAACCTGGTTGAACCCTTCTTAATCAAACAAAGTTAGCGTAGGCAGAAATGGAACTATTGGGCAGAAATACCCATTCATGTTACACACTGATAACCCAGCATCACTTCCGTAGACTTCCTGCCAAAAGTGTATAACCTGAATCTAAGTATGATGAAACTGAAATTGAGGGACGTTCTACAAAATACATGGTCTATACTCTTCAAGCTGGAAATGTCATGAATAACAAATCAGGAACTGTTTCCAATTAAGGGAATCTAAAAAGACAAGGCAGCCCTGACCAATGTAGCTCTGTTGGTTGGGCGTCATCCTGCAAATCAAAGGTCACTGGTTCCATTCCTGGTCAGGGCACATGCCTGGGTTGCTGGCCTGGGGTATGTGGGAGAAGCATTTGATCTATGCTTCTCTCCCTCTCTTTCCTCCTCCCTTCCCCCTTCCCTAAGAATAAATTAATAAAATCTTTAAGAAAAAGACATGACAGTTGAATGTAAAGCTTGCATGATTTTAAATTTTCTGTTGTTATAAAGTATATCATCAGAACTGACAATACCACAATAAGGTCTGTAGAAAATAGTATTGTTTCAGTTTCTTTCCTGATTTTGAAAACTGTACCGTGGATATATAAGGGAATTCATTGTTGTTCCCATAGGAAACGGAGAATAACACCTACCCCATAGGGTTGTTAAGAGCATTAACTGCATTGATTCATATATAAAATTTAGGACAAAATATTCAGTAAATACAGAGGAGAATATCATTGGGAATTTGGTTACAAGAAAGGGTCTCATTGAATGTGGTAGGTTTCAATAAACCACCATCCTATACCTTCAACTTAGGTACAGAAAACAAAGGCTCTGCCACGTGGATATGTTCAAGAAGGAATATAGGTGCCAGGAAGGACTCCTTGTAGTTAACTGCACACAAATTCATAGCTAGAGTCCAGCTGCTATTGCTGTCAGGAGCCTGTCATACACACTGCATTTTAAGGAAAAGCTACAAACGGTTACGGGGACTATATGGTAATGGGAAAAAATACAATAAAAAAACCTTACAAACTGAACCTTTAAACTCCTGTACCATGCTCTCAACACCAACCCTTACCGGAGTTCCTGGTATTACCTTTTGACTAATTGGCTAAGAGGTACACAGCTATATCCTCATTTGTATCTTTATTGACTAATCAGAGCAGCTAAAATGACCAATCAGGAGAGTGCTGTTTGGACCAATCAGACTGTGCAAATTTTACTTCCTCATTTGCATAAAGTGGACCCATCAGGGAGACAAGGCAGGGACTTTAGAAGCAGCAGTGTTGGCCTGACTGGATTCTCAGTTTGTTAGACTGTTTCCCAATGTGTTGAGGTTGCAGGGCTGCTCCTGGATCAGGGCACATATAAGAATTGACTAATGAATGCACAAATAAGTGGAACAATGATATCTCTTTCTCGCTCCTCCTTCCTCTCTAAAGTCACTAAGTTTAAAAATTTTATAAAAATTGCAGTTCCCATTATTTCTGGGGATACACTTTGGGTTTCCACCTGAGGCTTCATTTCCTGGTTTTGCAAACTTCTCTCCAATAGTTTCTCCTCCCAATTTGGGGCTTTTCTTAACATTAGGTTGGTGGCAATGAAATTCTGTCCACACCAGCTCATGGAAGAAGTATCCAAAGGAGCCCAAGCTCAAGGATGCAGCCTTAGAAAAGTTCACGGGCACTGTAAGCTCTTAGTGAAAATGGTGGGTCTCCTTCCAGTTCTAGTACCTGAAGTGAGCTTATCCTTAGATAGGCAGGTTAACAGGAAAACTTAGTAATATCAAACACAATCTTTCAAAATCGAACGAACAATAGCTCATTAAATGGCTACCATGTACTGGGTCCTGTTGCCGGTGCAAGAAACGCCCCCTCACCCCCTCCATCACCAAGACTGCTGAGTGTGAGTCCAAGGACAAGTGGGTGGCACTAGGTGAAACTTTGGCCTGGCTTAGAAGCTCAGCTTCTTTCAATTCTCCTCTGAGACTGGCTGTTCTCAGGCAAAAAGAAAAAAAGGTCCTTAAATTAATCTGTAAAAGGAGTAAAAATTTTAAGGGTGTTTGTAACTTTTTTTGCCCTGCTAGTATATAAATTGCATTTTTGCCTGGACGCTTTGCCTGGAGATAGTGGAAAATTATTCCTCAGGGCAGAGGGCCCAGTTCTGCCCGTCTCCAAATCGTGAATGCTGCGAACACAAAAGCCAGCTGGATAGGCTTTTGCCTCAGGCCCCGGGACTGAAACTAGACTCTAGGGTACGGGGAGCCTGTTGGTCGAGATGTGAGAGGGTTTCTCCCATAGGCGCCGCAAGACCCAGCACGGCGTTGGCTCGCTAGGGAAGCCTGGGTTGCATAGTAGCAGAGTATCTGAGCTTGGGGAAACAGCACCGTAGCGTGGGGGAACAAAATGGCGGCCGTGACCAAGGTCCACACCACAAATGGGTTTCGGGCCACAGAAAAACCACAACTCCCAGAATCCTCTACGCCGAGGCCCGGAGGCCCAGGAGTGCTCCAGCGTCACTCCAGGGACTGTAGGCCCTGGGCCCCGCCCCCCAGGCGAAAATCCAGCGGCAAACGTTGCCGGCTGTGAACCCCTCCCTAGCCCTGTCTTGCACTGGCCGACGGGACTAGTAGTTCTTCAGTAACAGAATTGAACGTCCCTCAGGCCTTACGAAACTACACTTCCCGGTGGGGTTTTAGCGCCTGCGCACGAAGCCGCGGTGAATACTACGGCTCCCGGCGGGTTCTGCGACGCTCGCGGTTGCGCGCTGACGCACTTACTTAGCCGTGCTGACGTGCAGCGCGGCCCAGGCGGGGTGCGAGTGGCGCAGTCGGAACCCGCTGCGGCCCCTGAGGAAGCGAGGAGGCGTCAGTGGCGGCTGAGGCGGGCGGACTGGCGAGGCGAGTCGGCGGCTCTGGGCCCCGAGAGACTCGGGAGGTCGAGCAGCGGTAGCACCTCTTCCCCTCCGAAGCGGCGGGCGGCGGCGGCGGCGGGTGAGAGGGTGAGGAAGCGCGCGAGCCGGGTGGGGGAGGGGTGGTAGCCCCGGCTCCAGGCCAAAGCGCGCGGAGAACGGTCTAGGCCGTCGCGCGCAAGCGCGCTCGCCGCCCTTAGCTCGCGCGGACTCCCTGCATTGCCTGCCTCCCCTCCCCCGCCTCCCCTTCCCGCGGTTTCTGTCGCGCGCGGAGTTTTACTCTTTCCCCTCCCCCATGGCAACGGCGCGCGCCTCCGACTGCATTCAAGCTCGCGCGCGTGCTCGGCTCCTCGCCTCCTCCACGCGTGTGGCCGAGGAGGCCCTGCTATAGCTGCCCCTCCCGGCATTTTCTAGGGAGGGAGGGGGCGGTGGCCATTGGGGCCTGCTTCGGAATCCTTTCCCCAGCCCCACTTCTTTCTCGTGGCTCTTGGGGCCTATGGTCTGTCTGGGGGCCTCCCAGACTTCGGGGCGCCACGCAAACCCATCCCCCATCCCCCAAGGCTGAAAATAAGCGTTGGAGTCCTAGCCAGTGCAGAGAAGGCCTTGGACTAGATACACGGGAGGTTTCGATCATCAGGAGTTGTTACTGTTTGTCGTGAAAGTATTAGAGAAAAGCGCCAAACCTTTAAAACAATTTTTTTAACCTGGGTATGTAAAGGCAGACCGTATGCTTTTTTTTTTTTTTTTAACTTTTAGTTTTCATCATCTACTCAGAAGTTGTATTAAAGTTAGGGAGGAGGTTGTTGGAACCTTTCTTTGGTAAGAAAACGGTGGACTCTTTCAGGCACTGTTTGGCACGTAATGCTTCCGAGTCTTGGTTTCCATTTACGCTTAAGATATCTTTTGGATCAGAAATTCGAAGAGTATGTTTCATCTTCCATCTTAAATGTGTGGGCTTAGGTCTCTCTGCTTGAGCTAATATTTTAAGCTCTTTGGGTTCTATAATGTTAACTCCGCTATACAGTGCCCCAGTGCTGAGCTTGCTTTGCTTATATATATCAGTTTTCTTGGTTATTCCCCCTTAGATCACATTTGGTGCCTTTTGTTTCTTGGATACCTTAATATTGGATTTCGGGATCGCCTTCTATCTTATTAGTTAAGCAATTAGCTTTTGTATTCCTTTCCAGCTTTTATTTTCTGTCTTCAGCTTGGGAATTTTTGCATACCCACAGTCCCTGGACCCCAGTTTACAAATTTCTATTTTATAAAGTTAACTTGGTTTTGGTGATTTGTGTGTGTTGTTGATGTACCCCTGGTCTGACCTTCCTTTTAGTGTTTCAAGCACTGCCTTGGATGCTGTGGGGGGTTTTTTGTTTGTTTTGTTTTGTTTTCCTCCTTTTTTGGCTCATTCCCTACAAGTTCTCTAGTTCGTTGTGACTTAATACCTTTTGCTTAGTAGCTACTGGTTTAACCTCCCTAGGGATGGGAGGATTATTGTGTGAGGTGGTATGGAAGTGTGGGTGAATGGTTAGACCAAAGAGTTAATTGCAGGTCAGAAGCATTCTACAAGGGGAAAATTGGGTGAGGTATGTGTAGAGAGAGAGGCAGAGAAAGACCTAGGATTGACGTGGGGAAGATTGGTATTTGAAAAAGTGAGGGTTGGGAGGTAGAGAAGCTGATTTCTTAAGCTGTAAAAAAGTTTTTCATTTTTTTGTCCATTATCACTTACCTGTCCTAGACTAGTCTCATCTGTCATTTCTTTACCCCAGTATGGTTATCTTTTTCTGTTTTCAAATTTCTCTTGAGTCTGCTACTGGGATAGGCAGGGACCCAGTCTTAGAGTTGGGGGTGGGAGTCCAGACTTCTAGAGTGGGGCTGTCTCCCATTCATTCAACACTTTGCCATATTTTAAAATTTTATTCATTTATGTTTTGCTTTAACATTTCCCCAGGTATTTGTATGATGTTATTTTATTCTGGGATATTTACAAAAACCCTGTAGTTTCCTTTTTATCCAGTTCAATCTCTTTTCCCTCTACTTATATAACCTATCTGTCTACATTGTTCCTTGTATGGTTTTCCTCACACATTTATACTGTGAAATTATCTTGGCCAGGATAAGTTGGTAAAAGAAATGAAGTATATTAGCATGAGAAAGGAGTAGGCTATAGCCACAGAATCTAACCAGAAAAACTGGGGCTTGAGGGCTCTTCAGAGTCTTGCTGGGGTTGGGACAAGTTGAGAGGATAGACCTTGGCGGGAGGCATGAAGATAACAATATGACAGGGATAAGGCAAACCTAGAAGAGAAAAACTAGGAAGTGAGATACAGGGGACTGGTAGGGAAAGCTGGTAGTTTCACATAGTAAAAGTGAGGTATAAAGAGTGGGGAATTTTCAGTATAAGTTTAAGGAACGGAATATAGAGAAGGTATGCGAACAGAACAGAGGAGGCGGATTTGATGTATTTAGAGCATTGAGTTGACAGCAGGTACATTTAACGGGTGCTAGGGAGACTTGGGTGAGCTGCAAATCATGTGAAAAATCCTGATGAATTGAAGGGATAAGGTATGTATTGGGTAGTTGTTAGGAGGTATAAATATTTGGAGTCAAGGAAATGGCCTCTTACCTGGAAAGTAAAGTACAAGAGGATTATGTATCCAAGATTCAGGAGTCTCTGATGTGCATGTTGGCCTTTTGTCTGGGTGTGAGGCTGTACAGGATACTTTTGGTTTATCTTAAGAACGAGTTGGTCTACCTGTTTAGGTATCTAGGGGCTGCTTAGTCCATTTTGTATTCATAACGGTGTAGTCTGAAATCCTTAGGCCAGTTCTTGGAAGAGTCTTTGGACTTGAACTGTAGGCCCTTGGGTGCCACAGATCTGTGGTGTTTGTTGTGCCCAGTTTGGAGGCCTTAGTTACCAAAGGTTAGGAATTAGAATAGTTGGTGGAGACACCACTTTGTTGGTATTGGGGCCAAAGGAGAATAAAAGGACAGTATGGAGAAATACTAGAGAGAGAATCTTTGTTTGCTTAGGGTAGAAAAAAAATCTAGGTGCAAATAGTAAATGGCTTTTGTACATTGAAGGAAAAGGCTACAAAAGCTGGGCTGTGAGTTGGAAAGAAAACAGTGTGGGAAGGATGAAGAAGGTTTTGTTAGGAGACCAGGAAGATTATGCAGCTAAAGGTTGTTTAGTGTGGAAATACATGTTGAAATAGGTATGAAGGAGAGCAGGGATTTGGGTGGCGGTAAGTGGTTAGTTTGAGGCCAGGGGCCTGATCCATGTTTCCCCGCTCCCCCTCAGGAGTGGTGGTGCCCCCATCCCTCACCCTGGGCACGGGGCCATGTACAACGGGATCGGGCTGCCGACGCCCCGGGGCAGCGGCACCAACGGCTACGTCCAGCGCAACCTGTCCCTGGTGCGGGGCCGCCGGGGTGAGCGGCCTGACTACAAGGGAGAGGAGGAACTGCGGCGCCTGGAGGCTGCCCTGGTGAAACGGCCTAATCCTGACATCCTGGACCACGAGCGCAAGCGGCGAGTGGAGCTGCGATGCCTCGAGCTGGAGGAGATGATGGAAGAGCAGGGGTGAGGGGAGGGTTGGGGGAGAGCCAAGCACTGAATGAGTACAGAGCTGGGGGAGTTAGCTGGGGTATAGGAAACTTAAGGCTTGTTGGAAGAGGCCTGGAAAGAAATTGCAGGAGGGGTGGAGGAAAAGGAATTAGCATAATGAAAGGAGTTAGGGACAGTTCAGAGTGGGAGATGAGGAAACTGTGTGTGGGACATATAAGAGAGTCTAAATTATTTAGATGGAGGCACATGGGGAAAGGGGGCCATTGAGAAACAAAAATGTGCTTCAAGAGAGAAGTGGGAAAGTAGAACCCAGGCAAGAGAAGATCTAGGTAAGCTGACAGGTGTTGTCATTGATAGAGAAGAGGAAAGTAAATGGACTTAAGGGTTGAGGCCTTGGAGAGTAGCAAAGGCAGGAAGACAAGAACTGGAATAATACCTGGCCGGATAAGAGGTGTATGGGTTGGGTAGGAAGTGAAATTTTGGAAAAGGTGCACATTCAGGCAGAATGCCTTTTAGAGCAGTGGTTTTCAAACTTCAGCAGTGGCGCCCCTTTCATACAATACACCATACTTTGAAATCCTAGGAAATGAAAGATCTGTTCTTGTTGAAGTTGGGGAGGAGCACCTGGAACTCTGTGTAACTTTCTTCTCTTGGCCCCAGTGTAGCATGTTTAAAATCCACTGTTCTAGAGGGTGTAGTAAGTGAAAGGAAGAAAGATGACAGGGAAAAGATAGGGTTTAAGAGAAGGGTGCTTTGGGTGACAGTGAGTGAAAAGTTCTATGTGTGCATGGAGAGGGAAGGGATCCTGGGGAATGAGGAAATGTATACCTGGGACTGGGGCAGTGTCTAATCAAGCTCTAACCCTGAAGGGATTTGTTCTCCAGGTACGAGGAACAGCAAATTCAGGAAAAAGTGGCAACCTTTCGACTCATGTTGCTGGAAAAGGATGTGAACCCTGGGGGCAAGGAAGAGACCCCAGGGCAGAGGCCAGTGTGAGTGTTTCACTCTTTTTTGATTTTTGCTGAACTAAATACTGTCCCTTCTGCTTTCCTCTCTTCTTACTTTATATTTCCTGCTCTATCTTTCTTTTCCCAATCCTGTTTGGCTTCTGTGTATAATTGTATAAAAATGACTGTCCCTGTGCTCTCTTGTGTCCTTCACACACCTTTGCTATTTTTTTCTTTAGGATAACTGAGACTCACCAGTTGGCAGAATTGAATGAGAAGAAGAATGAACGACTTCGTGCTGCCTTTGGCATCAGTGATTCCTATGTGGATGGCAGCTCTTTTGATCCTCAGCGTCGTGCTCGAGAAGCCAAACAACCAGCTCCTGAGCCTCCCAAACCTTACAGGTACACAAGACCAAGAAACCAGTGCAAGTTTTTCTC